CCCCGCACCTGCGGCCCAAAATGCGCAGGTACGATTACACCAGATACAACAGCATCAGCCTTTTTCCTAAGTCTCAAACCAATCCGTTAAGCACCCGAAACTCACCCGAGGCCCCCGTGACCTCAACCAAACATACCAACCAATCCTAAAATACCATACAAACTTAGTCGAGCCCTCAAATCACATCAAACAACGCCAAAAATCACGAATCACCCTCCAATCCAAACTTTAAGAACTTGAAACTTCATAATTCTACAACTGATGCCAAAACCAACCAAACCATGTCCGAATGACCCCACATTTTGCACACAAGTCATGATTAACACTACCGACCTACTACAACTTCTGAAATTGGATTCCGACCCCGATATTAAAAATTCCACTACCGGCCCGGAACTTCAAAAATTCAACTTTCGCCATTTCAAGCCTAAATGAGCTACGGACCTCAAAAATACAATCCGGATACGCCCTTAAGCCTATATCACCCAAAGAAGCTAACGAAATCGACTGAATTTCATTCTGGAGCCGTCTTCACACTGTTTCAACTACGATTCAAATTCTAAGACTTAAGCTCTCATTTAGGGACTAAGTGTCCCAAAACACTCCGAAACTCAAAACGAATCATCCCGGCAAATCATAATAGCAGAAATAGATATGAGGAAGCAGTTAATAGGGGGAATCAGGGCATTAATTTTCAAAACGACCGCCGGGTCGTTACAGGTTTATTGATAATTGCACACGTCATGGTGGAAAATTTAAACTTTATCAATATTGATAATTTATTCATTTGGCATAATTGATTTAGCCATGTTAATTTAAAGTATGATGTGCAAAAATAAAAGAGAATTCCCACGGGTAAATATTAAAAAACTAGAAAATTCTGTACGAATTCTTTTATGTTTGTTCTTATTAATTAATAGACCAATTAAAATTAGGATTGAATCTCATGAATACTGGAAATATCAAAGGTGAATATGGGCCCATTCACCTTCCATGTATACCATATAAGATGCATCTATGATATGGTTACTTGTGCGATTATTATTAACCCGCAACCTGGTGTTTGCGAGGTAAGTTGCTCAATAATTTAATTTAGAGCATAATTTCCAGATTTTCTATCCAAGATAGTTCATCTTGATAAGTTGGGTTACATCACAGTTGGTTTAGCAAAATAATTTATTGAGTGTCGTTACTTAATAGCTAAACTATTTCTTATGGGAACAAAGTTATATATATATCAGTTTGATATACGTGATATATGAAAGTATATTGTTTTCTCCCCTCACAGGTGGTTCAGGGCCAGGAACCAAATAATTCCATCTTATTATTATTGATGTACGGTCTATATGTTGATTAACACCATAACGCACAAAGATGGATTTTCAAAATTGAGGAAGCAAGTTAGTTTTTCTAACATGAGGAGGAGACATGATAAACAGTTGAGAAAAAGTTACGTGCAATGAATTATCATTTGTACACCTAGATCCTCGAATAAGATAATATGAACTTGAAGTTCATAAAAATATAATCCATCTGCAATATATTGCAAAGCATGCTAGACGCATATACTGACCCAAAGAAAGTAACTATATTCTCATTGCAAACGCTCCTATTAAGTCCTAGAAGGACAAAGAGTATGGTACACTTAAAGCATATAGACAAATCGGTTTCAAATAAACTTCTTGATAAAGAAGATGAGCAAATGATCTAAATGATCATAGTAAGGAGGCAAGTGATCTAGAAGATCACATGATATAACATTTCATAAAATCTCAGGAGAGGTTCAGGTACCTGAAATGAATGGAGAGATCTCTATGTTATGTCTTTATGAAAAAATATTGGTACCGATATAAAATGTTCGTCGACGACATCTATGATAGCGCTAAATAGATATGAAGATCTTAAGTCTGGAGAAAAAATTCAAGTAGAATTGGTTTCATATGAAAGACATGTAGTTTTGGACATGTAGTTCAAACACTTGAAAGTATAAAGTCAATGATATGTGCAATCAGTTTTCGATATCTTATTTGTCTAGCATGACATAAAAAACTTGATATGCATCTAAAGTCCATTCATATGGCTTATATGATTTAACTTATATGACAATCCATGAATAATTTAAATTGCTTAAAACATATATCTAAAATTCTTGGTCATGAAGTACTACATCCTAAGTACAATTTGTGCACATTTGTATCTTGCTATAATTATAAGCATGATAATCTGATAGCGAGAATTTTCAAAGTGCAACATATTCATTGGAGTTAATACGGGTGATTTATTCACCAAATCTTTGCCGACGTCAACTTTCAAGAAGCTAGTGCACAAGACTGGGATGCGAAGGCTCAATGATGTGAATTGATGCTCTCATCAAGGGAGAGTGAATACGCGTTGTAATCTTTTTTCCTTACAAGGTTTTGTCCCATTAGGTTTTCCTTGCAAGGTTTTTAACGAGGCAATCAAAAGGTGTATTGTTAGATATGTGTACTCTTTTTCCTTCTCTAGAATTTTTTTGCCACTGGGTTTTACTGTAGTTAAGGTTTTAACGAGGCACATTATCTGTTGGATAGACATTCAAGGGGGAGTGTTATAAATAGTATTTTATTTATGGTGAATGTCTAGATTTTAGAGAGATTTTAGGGTTTGTTACTTGGTGGCTAAATCACTTTTTCCCTATAAATAAGAGGAGTTTTATTCCATTGTAATTGATCTCAAATCAATAAGAGTTGTCTCTCTCTACTTTTCTCTGCAATACTCTTCTTCTTTTATTGTTTTATAACAAAGATCAAGTTTAAAGTCCACAAGGATATAATGTTGGTTTAAGGAAAGAATTGAAGTAAGGTAAATTTTAATTAAATTTTAATTTCTAAATATTAGGATCTTCTATATAGTATAAATAAGGAAAATTTAAAAAAAAAAATCAGTTGATTTTGAACTCCTAAATATTAGGAAAATAATTAAATGAGTGTTTTATCTAGTATTTAAAGGATAAAAAAGGCGAACAATATTTCGCTAAGGATATTTGTGCTTTTAATTATTCTTAGAGTACACGCGTTGCACATATACTTTTATTTATTGTATATAAACTTTTTTAAAATTACATAATGATTATTAAAGAATGTTTTGAGTTATAAAAATAAATTAATAGAAATTCAAGACCTTGAACATGATAATATTATTTAACTAACTCAACAAAGAAAAAAAAATTACCTCAAAAATTTCCCGAATTCTTTACTATATTATTCACATATTACTAAATTTTACTAAGATGGCATGAAAGCCACCTTTTTGGTTAATTTATTTAAAATTGTCACTAGTTTTTCTATTAAAGTATTGTGTCAGCAAATGTTAGTTATTTCACCAATTTACAGCAAAATGAAAAAATCACCAAAATCTTTTTGAGTTCCTCTCCACTTATACTTTGCACGTGTTTCTCATCATAATGAGTAGTTTTGGTTAAAAAGTTACGTAATATTATTCAAAATTTGTGTTTGAGTTATAAAATAAAAATAGAAGCTACTAAAATTGATGAATATTGATCATATATAACTAACTTAATAAAGGAAGAGACTTTATCTCAAATTCAGTTTAAACTTTGTTCTAAAGTCATAATTTTATCAATTTAATTTCACAAGTTATCATGCTTTTTTTTTTTAAAGTTTCGGCAAGAACACATAGACCTTAAAAATTAAAAGTTTTTCTAAAGATATTTTTGAAAAGTTATTCTCAAATATTTTCGAGGAGACACAAACAGAGTTAATTAGCTATACTTTTATTCAATTCTTGAAAGATTTTTAAAATAACACAAAATATTAATGAATCGATTATTTTGCGGGCTTAATTGCACATATATAAATTATTTCGTATAATTACAATAAGATTTTTTTCTCAATGGTGATGATCTAGTAAACGATGCTTATCACGTTAAGCATCCTAAATGTTGCATATATGAATCCGTTTGAATTAGTATAATTTATATAAGGTGTAATATCAGTTTTAAAGTTCTAAATATTATGAATTCTATCTAGTTTAATAAGGAAAGACTTAATAATAAATTATAGTTGATTGCAAATTTGTAAATATTAGGAAAGTAACATAAATTACAATTTTGTCCAATGTAAAATTTAAATATAAAGGGTAAAAGATGCGAACGATATTTCACTAAGGGGCTTCGTGCTTTTAATATAGTAATACTAATAATATAATATAATATAAATTTAGTACTTCACGAAAATAAGGTGTACATATGAGTATGAATAACACTCCATTTGGATCATTGTTCCCCATCATTTTATAATGTATTGTATTGTATCGTATCGTGTTATGAATACAATGTTTGGATAGATTGTATTGTTTGTTATTGTTAAATAATATTTTGTTGTTTGGTTTGACTGTATCGTACTGTACTGTAACTGATAAGTTTCCTAAAATATCCTCGATTGTTTAAATATTAAATTTATTAAAAATTATGCATAATAATTTTTTTTTTAAAAACAAAGCAGAAGAAGGGAAAATACCTTACGAGAGCAGAACAAAGGAGCGAGACAGAAGAAGGCAAAACAAAGAAGCACAACTAATTAGAATTGAGTTGAAAGCAAATTAGGAGAAAAATTAGAATTGAGTTAAAAGCAAATTAGGAGAAAAAATAAAACAGAAAGCGGTAAAACACCTTTAACTGCGGCAGAAGTTCTAGAAAAAAACAAAGTAGGTTATAGGTTGGAGATTTGGAGTTAAAATAGAAAAAAGGTAAAATAGAATTATATAGTAATAAGTTAGGACATAATTGGAAAGAAAAATAGTAAACAATCCCACCACACCAAATCGGTTATTTCATAAAAGGGGACTTTTTATTATTTTAACAATACAATACAACTAATTTTAATGAAACAATCAAAACAAACATTATTTTGAAATAACAATAAAATATAATACAAGGGGGAACAACCATCCAAATTTTTGGACATGTTAGAATATAGTTGAAAAAGCAGAGGTGGTGAAGGACGATATCCCCTCTTTAACTGTCCCCACACCATTCTTCAATTCGAAGAAACAAACGACTTTGATGTTTGTTTAGTTGTTACGACTCCCCAACTTTACTAACCTTAGCAGCTGTCGCCTATTAGTATTAGTATTACAATTACAACATGCCCGGTGGTCTTAAACTCAACGCTGTGACCTCTATTTATTCTCACAAGCCCTACAATTTCTTCCGCTCTTTTACCTCCGTCACCGGCACCTCTATCTCCGCCGCCGCCGCCGTAAGTGTGTCACCTCACATGCGTCGCTGTTGGCGGGGGACTTCAATTTCAGTTCCGGCGTCCGGTGATTTTCGTCACCGCCAGAAATTGTTAGGGTTTTTGGGTAAGGGATATGCTAACTTTCCATTGAGAAGTATTTCTACTACTCAAATGGGCCCCGCACCTGATCACAAGGAGGATGATCTCCGCCGTGAAAAAGCATCTCCTCCACCACCACCGCCATCGAAGTCTGAGAAGTTGCTGACATTGCCCACGATTTTAACAATTGGCCGCGTGGCTGCTGTTCCGCTTCTTGTAAGCAGTAAGTTTCTCAACTATTTTTGCTGGATGCATTTTAAACAATGTATGCTCTTTGATGATTGATGAATTTAGATTTCTCTTAAGCAAATACTTGTGAATAAACTCATAATTGATTTTAGTGGGAGAGACATTCGGTGAAGTAACTAAAATCTGGTCTTTTAGTTATGGATTATATGTGGAATGTAATACACAAAGGTTATAACGAGATGGATAGATATGGAGGATAATGGAAGTAATTAAAATTGGGATTGTTGAAATGAGAACGCCTTTGGCCTAAATATACTCTTCCCATAATTTTGGTCCTTTTTACTGTAGGAGGATCAATTGACTGGTTTCGGTTTTACATTTTTGTTAAGTTTTTTCTGAAGCTTAAATAATGTATTAATACATAGCATGAAAAGTGCTATAAGTTGTAATGCTTTTTTATTTCAAAATGCCGACATAATAGATTTAAATTTTTTAATCAAAGATCACCATCTTTGACTCTTAGTAAGCAAAAAGGACAACATTTTTCTGATTGAGAGAGTGCCATTAATTGACATTCTTATTCCTAATACATTACATTCTTATTCCTAATACATTCTTAAAGCACCTAATCAATAAACGTGAAACAAGACCAACTATGGAAGCACCCGAGAGAGTGGCCTAGCAGTTGGTGAAGTGGGTGAAAGCCCTGGACATCAGGGTTGAAATTCTAGCAAAGACAAAAAACACTAAATGATTTATTCCCATCCGCCTTCTGCCTAAACTTTGGTAGGTAGAGTTGCCCGGTGCCTATGATGGCAGAAGGTAGTAATACTTGATAGAATAGTCGAGGTGTACAAGCTGGCGTAGACCAGTGGCAGAACTAAATAGTATGAACGGAGTTCAACCGAACCCGTTTCGCCGAAAAATTGCAATATGCAAATAGGGTAAAAATGATATTTGTGGCTATATGTGAGCTGTTGGATCTCCTTGACATGAAGAAAAGATCAAGTATTTTAGTGAAGGGGGTTCAAAAGTTACTTTAGGTTATAGCCTTGTAGGTTTAAATCCAACTGTGATATCCTAAATTTTTTTTGAATCTCCTTGCATACATTTCTAGTTCTGCCACTGGCCTAGACACCACTGACATAAATAGTAAAGACCTTCGACTTTGGAAGAAGGGAATGCTTCCACTAGAGGGGTCTATTTCGGTGTTGAGCGAGGAATAAACCTAGCATTATCGTGATTTGCTAGTCCCTAGAAAATCACAAATTTTGTTCATGTCCGAAAACAATGCAGTAGTTATTTGGAATATTTACTCGAAGTTTGTTGAAGTATGGCTGCACATGATCTAAGACACTGGAGAAGCTTACACCTTTGCAAATTTTAGTTTAAGTTCAGTAGAAAATAGCAAACTAGGTCGAATTCCGCAAATTGATGATATTTATGCACTATGTTGTGCAGGTCGCTTCTGAGTTGTTACAAAGCTTTCCAGTAAGCAACTAAGTATAGCATTAATAAACTACGTTGGCTATTGAATGGATGATATGAGGATTCATATCGCCGACCCAAACTTGTTTGGGACTAAGGTGTAGTTGTTTGTTGTTGGCTATTGACTGGAACCATATAGGTGCATCTAGTTAGTGAATTTCTTGTGTAACCTGATCTTTATCCAACCATACTGCATATAGGTATGCATTCGTGGGCTTTTCTATGCCTTTATAGTTCTCCCACTTGCATAGTTCTGTTTGTTTTGGTATAGCTTTATAGGTTCCTTTTGGAAATTTGCTGGACATGGTCTAGTTAGGTCACAAGTCAATTGATCAATCAAGCTTCAAGCTCAAACTAGTTAGGCGAGCTATATAAGTCCTTTAATCTATTTCATAATGTTTAGCCCGTTCCTTCAATATTTAGACTCATCATTGTTCTGAATTTTTATACACTGACCATCAAACTATCACAGACCTCGTCTTTATCTGGGCTTGGGACTGGCTAAGCAGCAACAACAACAATAACAAAAAACCCAGTTTGATCCCATTTGGAGGGTAGTTATGCATGAAGCTAACATAGGTGGACCTCCATAGGTCACAAGTGCCAGTGTCATTATAGTGTGTCTTGTGGCTTCATGCATGAGTAGATCATTGAAATGTTTACTGATTGACAATCCCTTGTGCAAGTTCTTTCTGTTTATCCAGCCGTCTTGAAAATGTTGATGAAATAGAAGATGTGTTTTTCTTTTTTTGATGGAAGGTAATAAAAATATAAGATCTGTTTTAATTTGTATAGTAGCATTCTTCGATTCGTGGCAGAACCTCAGGCTGATAAATGAGAGTATACATTGTTTGCAATTGGTATTTTATATACAGAAAACTGATCTTGTATTCTGTTTAATCTAGCATTCTATGTTGATAGCTGGTGGGGCCCAACTGCTACAACGGCCATATTTATTGCAGCAGCAATAACTGACTGGCTTGATGGATACCTTGCTCGCAAGGTTCTCATTTCTGCTGTTTTGAGTTTCGTATTATCATCTCTTCTGGATTTCTTATTTCCCATATTTTGGATATCACAATCTTAGATTGTTTGACATGCTCAGATGAACTTAGGAACTGCCTTTGGTGCATTTTTAGATCCAGTCGCTGACAAGGTATTCTCTATTGTTCTGTTTCAATTGGATTGTCATGCTTGCCTGCAATTTTGGTTAGTTTACTAGCAAAATTGCAGGTTATAAGCATGAGACATGGTGGTGTATTTTCTTGTAAGGATGATGTTAGGATTTTTTATATAACTGTCTTCTCGACTGCAACAGCTAATGGTTGCTGCCACCTTGATCTTGTTGTGCACCAGACCGTTGGAGTCCAGTGTGTTTGGACAGTTGCCATGGCTATTAACTGTCCCTTCAATTGCGATAATAGGCAGGGAGGTGAGTGATAAGCTGTATAAGTCCCCGTAATTGTATTTTCTTTGACCATATTTAGTTAGTTACGGTTAATTCCGTAATACCTTACAGTCACTAGATTAGGATTACATGTGTGCAAGACATAAATTTCTTTCCACCTTTAAAAGTTCAAAGGCCTCCATGCATTTTTCATCAAAAACAAACTTAGCATCTTTCTCTAGAAACTTGCAAATTAATAACAATTTGGGCAAATAAGTTGTTTGCGTTTCATAGTTTTTTTCTCCAAACATTTTTTGAAGTAAGTTGCTATATTTCTGTCTCTTAAATTTAAAATAAAGGTGATTTCTAAAGTAGAAAAAGTGAGTGTTCCTCTAGAAAGATTTTGATCCTATTAGCACTCTACATTTCCTCTCTGTGAAGCTTTGCTTAAGTAGAAATTTATCTGTCACAAATGGTTTTTTGGTGCAAAAGAGCAAATAATTTCTGTGCCACCTCCTCATATCTCAATTTCTTTGTGTTAACAAAAATGGAAGATTTTATGATTTATTCTGGGAAAAGAAGGTAGTATCATTTTTGATATATCTAGGTTATAGGCTTGCACATTGGCATCGACCTTTTTTCAACTGTTCTATGCTGCTTTGATTAGCCTTATTAGTACTCCCTGCCATACCGTTTCATATCATGGATTTTGACTGGAAACAAAGTTTAAGATGATAATTTGCCTTATATATATAAATAAGTACATATCATATTAGTGATAGTGGGAGAAAGTATAAAATTAATAGTTGAAAAGTTTGATTGATAGGAAAACATTAAAATCAGTGTGTAAAGCTAAAACATCCTAAAATGGGAAGTGTGATAAATTGAAAAAAAGGAGTAGTATCTTCTACAGTCAATGATGTTTTAGCCTTGCACTCAAATGAAGGTTAGAACTGTTTTTTTGCTCATGTTATGGCGAGTCCACAATGAAATATGCTTTGCTTCAAAGTCATGTGGACGGGTAAGTTAATTAGCAAACACTCTTGAGAATAGTGGTGGCAAAATGGTTAAAAGAAAACAGTTAACCACCCATATTATCCACTAAAAAATGGGTTGGATAATGAACTTTTTAAAAACGGGTCAAATATGGATAAGAACCATATTATCCATTTAGAAAAATGAATAACCAATGGGTCTAACTTTTATATTTGTAAAGCTTCAAATTGGGGGTTCCTCAAGTTAGGGAGACTAGGAATTCTCCCAAAAGTGATCATATGCAAGAAGTCATGGATAATATGGATATCCATATTATCCGCCGGTTAACACGTTTTTTATCCGTATTAAATATGGGTCGGGTCGGATGATTTCTCCGTTTTTTCATTACCCATTTTTCGACCCGAATCATATCCCGCCCGTTTGCCGCTCCTACTTGAGAATATGGATGTGAACTCTTATTGTACAGTTTGAGAAACTTAGGTATTAGTTAAGTTGAAATGTTCATCAATATCTTGCCATTTGAATTTTAGGATACACTCTAAAACACTTTGTCATACACATTTCTATAATTTTACATGGAAGTTGCTGTAACTCAAGGGGTGATATACTAAATAAATCTTCTAATTGGAGATACATTTTTCTTTTTTCTTTCCATATCTCTCTTCCTTATGCCTCAGAAATCTAATTGCAAAATTGTTTCCCAGATTACTATGTCTGCAGTTCGAGAATGGGCAGCTTCTCAGGGTGGTAAACTTTCAGAGGTTCAAGACCCACCCTCCCTTGTATTTTGTAGACTAATACTTTCCTGCTTTTTTTTGTTGCATTAGTAACTGATAAAGTTTTCAGGCTGTAGCTGTGAATAACCTGGGGAAGTGGAAAACAGCCACTCAGATGACTGCATTGACCATCCTCCTGCTAGCCAGAGATAGCAGGTAACTTTCTGTTTTCAGTCTCTTGCATGAGCCGTGATTGAAATCTAATAATGTTAACTTTTTTCTCTCTAGTTTATCTGGGGTTGGAACTCTTGTGGGTTCTGGTGTGATCTTGCTATATATATCAGCATGGCTTGCTGTATGGTCTCTGGTCGTGTATATGAGAAAGATATGGAAAGTGTTGTTAATGTAGCAATCTTGTTCATCAACCAACTACATCTTGGCTCATGCTTCTTGCTGTTGACCAATATCACCCTAAGCGATACATACTGATGATGCGTGCAAGGAGAAGCTGTCTTCCTTAATCCTTTCACAGTTGCCTCCTGAGGACGATGGAAGAAATTACTGACTCAATTCTAATGTCCCAAAATATATAATTCTCTGTGCATTTGGTTTAGACAGAAAGATAAATGATGATGCAGGATGTCATCACTATTCGGTTTTCCTCTACATTCTTTGACGCTATTCTTTAGCAGAGAGACAATGAAGTCTCTCAACAGGAATTAGGATTATTGGACATGGGATCCACAACATGTAATCTGGATTCTAACTGGAAAAAATAGTTCTATGCAATAAAGCACTTATTATTGTGTTTTTTCCTATGGAAAGTGATACTAATACCTTTATGATACTAGTCTTAGGGTACGCGCGTTGCGCGTGTAACTAAGTCGGCGACTTTTTTAGAAAATCGTATAATTACTATTAAATATAATATTTTGTATTATAAATCGTTCCATGTTATTTTATATTATATTGGCGAAATACATAAACGGTCCATTTAAGTTGTCCTCAACGACCAGACAAATACCTCAACTGAACCATTTACCATTTAGACACTTCAAATAACTATTAAATATATCAAGTAAGTACTTGTTGCTGATGTGGCATATGCGTGTTTGCTAACAAAGTCTCGGGCGCGTGAAGTCATTTCTTTCGTAGTCAAATTAGAAAATTAAAAAAAAATTACTTAGTTACAAAAAAAAAAATTAGAAAAACTTGCTTGAGTGCTTTGTTTATGCATCTTTGTTCTTCATTATTTGTGCTACAATTCTGAATTTAATCCTTTCCACTGCTCTAGACTTCAAATTTGGAAAGAAGTCTTCGAACCCAACACAACTCTTGAAATCCGAGTTCGTATTTCATCGTTCTTCATTGTCCAATATTGTTGAAGAAGCTGGGTTGTTTCGATCTGAAAATTGGCAGCCAAAATTGATTGGGTGTTTGAAACCTTTGTTGAAACTTTCTTTGTGAAATGGAATCTACGAATTTAGGTGGATTGGAGTTGATTCGATTGGCTTTGGTTCAAAAATTTTGAAGTCTATTCGAAGAAGACTACGACTTGGTCTTCCGATTTTGTTGTTGCTTGTAAAAATTGGATATTGGGGTTTGATATCGATGTTAATTAGAGTTCTCATTTCAAGTTTGGACTCATTTGGTGAAGTAAAGACTGAGATTGGATTGAAAATTTTGAGCAAATCTAAAGAACGCCAAAAAAGCTGCTATATTGTTCAACTCCTCTGTTCTTCAATTTTTGAAATTTGGCTTAAAGCATCGCCCCTATTCCTAATGCGTAGCCAATTACAGTAACTAAGTTTAATTTGTTGGACTTGGGATAAGGGTGGATTTGGGATAAGGGGATGAGGGACGCTGATGGGTGAAAGCAAGAAGATGAAGGGGGGGNGTGGCAGATTTCATGGTGCTATTTGAGAACGCGGCTGGTGGCATAAATGCCGAACTGCGTCAAAGAGTTGAGCAGTTGGAAGCACTGGTTGGGCAGGCTCTAGAAATTGGTGGCGATTCTTCTGTTCTTGCAAGAATGGCACGTTTGGAGGCAGACTATGCAGCGAGGCATGAGACAACGCTGGCAGAAATGGCCTTGGTACGCCAAGAGAAAGAAGAACTACGTGAGGAGGTGACTGAACTTCGAAGGGCATTGCAAAATTCTGCCCCTAGAAGTGATGAACGCACTAAGTTGAGGATTCCAGAGCCAAAGGCTTATGGTGGTGCTAGAAGTGCCAAAGAATTGGCAAATTTCTTGCGGGATATGGAGCAGTATTTCCAAGCTGCTCGTGTGCCGGATGATGAAAAAGTGGTGATCACACCAATGTACTTGGCTGATGATGCAAAGGTGTGGTGGCGTACACGAGTTGCGGATAGAGAAAGTGCTGGACTGCCCAAGATTGAGACTTGGGAGATGCTGAAGAAGGAATTAAAATCCCAATTCCTTCCAACAAACTTGTCGTGGATGGCACGAGATGGACTGCGTCGCTTGAAGCAAAGTGGCACGGTGAGGGAGTATGTCAAGGAATTTTCATCCTTGATACTGAATGTAAGTAATATGGCAGAGGAAGACAAGCTGCATTACTTCATGAGTGGATTGGAGGGTTGGGCGCAATTGGAGTTGAGAAGGCAGAATGTTCAAAGCCTCTCTACTTCCATTGCAGCGGCAGATGCGTTGGCGGACCTAAACATAGGTGATGAACCTGCTGAAACTTCGCATTAAAAGTCAGACCGGAAAGACAAAGCAAAGGAATGGAAGAAAACGGGAAGGGCCAAGCTGCTGAAAATGAGGGACTTGTCAAGACTGTGAGACAGGAAATTCACAATGGCAAGGAAAGGAGCGTCAAATTCAAAGGCTACTTTACTTGTGGTGGACCGCACTTGAAGAAGGACTGTCTGGTGCAGGTTAGGATGAATGCAATGCTAGCTGCGGAAAAACAGGAACAAGTGGCGGAAGCAAATGCCATTGTAGCAGATGTGAATGGAGCACACGGGGCGTTGTTTGTCAACAACCCCTTGGGGTTGATTAATTGAGTTGGCTCGACGAGGACGTCGATTTCAAAGGGTGCGGGTGGTTTGTTAGACCCTAACTCTTTGTCATCGGGCGTGGCACGGCTGTGGCAAGGATTTGGGCGTGATGGCCTTGTCAATGGCCTAGGTGCGGATAAACGATCCTGCGGGCGACGGACATGACATTGGCATTGAGGGCTGTTGTGGGCAAGTATTGGCCAAGGCCTTGGGACAGGCAAGGCGCGCTTGGCAAAGGCTTGATGAGGCAGCATGGGCAATGTAAGGGCGGCATGGCACGGCATGCGCGCCAAAGTCGGAGGCATAGCACTTTTGGGTTGTGGCAGCTATGTGCGGGCTAAGCTAAGGCAAAGCGGGAAGGCAAGATGATGGAAAAGGCTTTCAATAGCTAAGGCAAGGCTATGTGAAGGAAAATACAAGCAATGGCACGAGGGAAATGAAGGTTGACATGGGCAAGGCAGAAAACTAGGCCAAGGCAGTGCGCGGGCGGCAGCAGCGCCGGGCGTGTGCGGAAAAATCATGGCAGCGGGTTGCGGGCAAGACATTGGCGCGGAGCAATGTCAAAGTGAGCTAAGGCTTGGCACAAAATCAGGCCTTGGGCGAAATTCAGTTGGCCAAGTGAGGATGGCACATGCAATGCACATGGAAGGCAGTTTTGGCGGTTACCTTGTCTTAACTTTTTTGTCCCATGATCTGATCATGCTTGTTCCATCATCCATTTCGTGTATATTGTGTCCTAAGTAGTTGGGGATGTCAACTACATGTTAGGAACAAGATTTAAACTTATCCCGACAAGTGGCAAAAGCTGTAGACGACAAGTGTCATGTGATGTCAAGTTTAAGGGCTGCCTATGTTCTATAAATAGGGCCTTTGGACTTAGGCAGAGAAGAGGGTGGGTAATTTCGTGGGAAATTATAAGTGGGAAACAAGAGTGAAACGTGAGGGTTTCAAAGTGTTTCAAAGGGGACTAAGGCTAGGCTTGGGCAGGTCTTAGTGTTGGCCAAGAACGACTTGTGTTCTTTGCCAAAAGTGGGCTGTGAGCGGATCGTGTTCATAGCAAGTGAGGGTCCTTTGTATATTTTCTAACTTAATGCAAAGGTTGGAAATTTTCCCATAGTTGCTTTGTGTTCTTAAATTTCTGATTGTTGCCTAAATTTCGTTTAAGCCAAACTTGCTGAAAATTGGCTAAGTGTTAAAGAAGGCTGAGTCAAGTGCGGAACTTGACTGCCGCGCGGGTGTGACTTTGGACTGACCAAAAACGCCCCCGTGACAAAAGCCATAGTGGATGGGAGGATCAGTGGTACTTCATTAAGTTGAGAGAAAATATTGGCATGGTGCTTGTTCGGTTACATGAAATTTTTTCCTTACAATATAATAGCAAAATAAAAAGTTTTTTCCCTACATTAATCACTAACCAGTGGAACGAATGGTAGTCAAGAGATCACAATTTAAACTGCAGAACGCGGATCTATTAGCCAAACAATGTTCTTTGATTTCTTCCTTAGTTGGTTTAAATTTTCCTCTAGATGTTCTTATCTATATTCAGGATCAAAGTACATATGCTTTAATTGACTATTATTAGATGTTCTTAATTGAAGCATGGCGCATTATATTGGAAGTGCAAAAAATGTGCAGGTTGACTTGGTTATCAAAAAATATGCGGGACTTTAGACACAAACATGATAATTGAAATACGAATTCAAGAGGAACCATCCTGAACCAACCTTCTCTTCAAGGTGTTTGACCGTTTTAATTTTTATTCAACAAACCGTTGGATCACAATTGACGTAACACTTGTTTTCTTCACTGCCTTGCCAAGAGTTTCAATTAATGCTTCCAAGCAGAGATGCATTCTGCAAAATAAGAAGCTGCTACCTTTTTGTTATTTGTTGCGTCTTTTCGTTTGGGGCTGTTGCTATGCGTTGGGATCTTTTTATTCTTTGTATATATTTAAATAGGATATTTAGGTTTTAGAAGGTCATTAAGGTAATTTAACTTTTCAATTAAAGGGTTCCTACTTTTAATATAGTACTAGTCTTTATGTACGTGCCTCACACGTATAACAATAGGCGCGCCTAATAATTAACATAAGATATGCAAATATACTTGTTACCAAAAAAAAAAATTAATCTCATGCAATTTACGATATTTTAAAAATGCTATTTTTAGCTAATTCATTTTCTATCACTATTACTTTTTCTGGTTACTTATATGAAAAAATGGACAAGGACGAAGACTTTCGTGCATATGAAAAGACTTGGTGACCATGAGAACTTGCATCCAATTGTGTCCTTTTACAATATGAGGAATGAAACAATTTTGGTCTTTGAATATGTGAAGAATGTTGACGTTCCAATTTATCTAGATATATACCACTCATACTCTCATATCACTAATTGATCGCCACTATTTTTTCCCTTTTCTTCTTTTTTTTTCTATTTTTTTACCTATGATTTTATTCTTTTCTAACTGGTCTTAATATAACATATAATTTTTAATGAATTTAACTAATATGTTTTAATGGTTTAAGAAAAGTCGAACTAAAATCTATATAGAGATCTGGTGTGTACGTTGAGTTAGAAATTATAGCCCTATGTAATTAATGAACAATATTAAAGAAGTTTCCAACCTTGATTTCATGCTTGAAACAACGGAAATCAACACTACTTGAACTCCACTAATAACAACCAACGCTACTTACTAATAACAACCAACACTACTTACTTGAACTCCACAGTAAAAAAAGAAGCACGACATAAAAATAATTTTCTTTGACTATAATACTGAACACGTC